GTACATCAAATATATTTGTTACCACACATTCATTATTTTCAGTATGAAATGTTATGATTTTTTAAGGTTTTTTTTCGAGCTTTTAACTTTATACCTCTCCTATGTTTTTCAATTATTTCAGTATATTGAAAATAGCTGCCTCTGTTGTCCTGAGTCTGTACTCAGGCATTGTGAGGTGCCTCTGCCTTCTCTCAGCTCTGGCTCCACTCCTGTCACTGGKGGATGTGTGAGTGTGGGCAGCTGCTTCTGCAGGCTGGCTCTGGGCTCCCCGAGACCAGTACAAACTGCCCCTTGGCTGCTGTTCCTGTGCACAGTCCAGGGCTTCCCTTAGGGCTTCTTTCCCCAGCAACTGCCAGGCATGTTCCTGTCTCAGAGGGATGTGGAGATTATGGGGTCAGTCTTGAGCCCAAACCCAAGTTTGTATTTGCTACTTGCTTTCATTTTGCTTTAGGAATAGCTTGTGGGATAGAAATATGCCATAGACAGATGACCTGGGAAGCAATGACTGCTGTCAGGGGACTAGAGCCAGCCATGTGCTTTACCCCCTTGCCAGCTTGAATGTTTTGATTGAGTTCCTGTGCCTTCCTGTCCTTCCCTTTCTTCCTGGAAGGATGRGGGAGAACTGAGCTCTCTGAAAGTGGCACCATTCTGAGTTCATTTCTGTGGCCTTTGGAGCWGAGCAGCGAGCAATCATAAGGTCCTTACATGAGTGTGAACTGCCCAGCCGTCTCTGGGCTGAGGATCCAAATGTCAGTGCTCAAAGGGAAAAAGAGCAGCTTTTTACCATGGTAACAGTGGTTCTGTGAGGAAATTAAATAGATGTGTCCATGCTCTGCTSTCCTCTGCTGCTGGTTGGAGTTACRCAGGAAATCCCTGGTTTCATACATTCATAGGGAATGGCATACATTTGGTTATAAATATAGAGATGTCTTTTTCCAAAAGCYGAGGATCAGCATTTAACCATATAGGTGTAATAATACTGACTTCATTCATAAAGGCCTTGAGGATCSGTGGATGAAAATCTTCTGTAAAGGCAAGGTATTATCTGTCCAAGCCACAGTTTCCAAAGAAGAGCTCTTTGACAAAGACAAAACAATTAAGGCTGCACTCTTCATCACTGTTTCTTTTTCTRTTTTCTTTTCCCTCTGTTTCTGGTGTTTATATAAATCTGTGAATGCTTGGAAACAGCTTTTGAAAACATGTTTGCAGAGATTTCTAATGAGGCTTTTTGGAATGTAGCTAGTATTTAGAAAACAATTCCTAATGTAGGCTGAAAAAGCATGCATTTTCCAATCAGTTTTGTTCATATCACCTTGGTAAACATCAATGTTTCTTTTTTTAACTTGTGGTTCAAATGGAGCTTGTAATTAAAAGAGCTCTGTTTGCTCACCTTCTTGTTTGCCTGCCACTGTTGCTGAGCTCGGCAGTACTCTAGTAACAGATTTGTTAATTGTTTTCACTCCCAGAGGTTTTTACAGTAACAGTTCAAATCTTGTGGATCCTCTGGAGCAGTAACTGTTGCTGGGTTTTCTCAGTAACAAATGTTTAATTAAAACAAAAGCATTGCAGGCAGATGTAAAGTCYCAATAAAGTCAAGCCTAAATTTAGTGGTCAGACTTGATGGCCTTGGAGGTCTTTTCCAACCTAAAGGATTCTGTGATGCTATGGATTCTGCACCATTAGGGAGGCATTGCATGAGGAATCTGAGAGGGGTGCAGCAGCTCTGAGGCACCACTGTGACATTTTTTGGTGTTCAATTTCTGTGTTTTTTTGTTAGAMTGAAACTAATGTTTGCTATAAACCCTGACCGATTGCAGAACAATTATAATAAATGTACGCAGAAAACCTGCAGCTAGCCCAGGGTCCAGTGTTTAAAAACAGAGCTGAAAGGAGCTACAAAATATTCTGGATGTGAGTTTRTACCATCAATATGTAATGTAAAGTAGTGAGTAAATGTACCATGGATCCATTCCCAAGGCATGTGCGAACCAGACAGGAGATCTGATCATGAAGCTCTGTGTGGTTGGAAACTGCAAAGGAAATAATGTGTTTGCTGAAACCTAATCAGTATTTCATGTCTCTTTTCCCATTGGTTGCTTGGGGTAGAAGGATGTGTCATTTCTGGATGCCATAAATAAATCCTGTTCTGGCCCATGTTGTGCCATGGGATCATAAGTGAAAGCCATGTTTCACATGCAGGGTGTGTGTTTTCAGTGTCTGGGGACTGCATCAGCATTTTAATGCAGTCCGGTTTGAAGCCTCTGAGTGATGGCACTGACTGTCCATGTGCAGGAATAGTCCCATGATTTGATGCCAAAGGGCCACCACTGCCAGCTCYACTGTCTCTCTGCCCCCAGATGGGAGCAGAATGGAAGGGGGGCAGGGATGCCARCATCCCAAATAATCATTTGATAACCAAAGACAATCCTCTTTTCTGGGCCTACGTATGCCTTTTCTACCAATGGCAATTAATGCTTTTTGCCTTGCATTAGTTAATGATTGCTGGTTTATTTAGTAGATTGGGTACAAAATAAACATGTTAGTTTGCTATTGACCTATCAATTATGATGTCTGATTACCCCTCTGGGGARCACATGTAGCCATTTATCCTGACATTTTGTTAAAATAGGTGGTATTATGGGACCAATCCACCTAATTCCTTACTCCCTGGGGCTGTTTAGTGTACTTAGCTGTAGAAAGGTGATTTCTGGAGCATGACAGCTGTTGGTGTTGGGGCCATTGTGTGGGGAACAAAATAGGTTATGTTCTGCTCATAGGCTGCCTTTGTGTCACTGATACAGAAGCCATTTCATAAATTAGACACAACTCTTCCCAGAGAGATTGTATTCCTGCTTTCATTGCTGGWGTGCATTAAAATAAACCACCAGGACAGCAGTAAAAGGAGATGTTTGAGCTTGGCATTGCTGTGAGGCCTTTTGTGTTTGTGCTGTCTGCTTCTGGCATTCCTGCCTATTTTTGTTGATTAAGTACATTACAAATAGTTTCTTTCCATGTTTTTTTACCATTTGATTAATTTATTAAGAGCCACATTTCAACACAAACATCACTTAATCATTTTTCCTCTAGAAGACATTGTTTTTTTATAAAGTTGCAAGTCAGTGTGTGCAGCAAAACCCAGCCTGTCAGAATTCCTGTCTGCCAGTCCCAGGAATGTGAATGCTGGGGTGAGGACATAGTGTCCTCCATGCTTGATTATGGGATGGGGAGAGCTCCATGTGTGTCAGTGTTGGCAGAGGAGCAACTCCTGTAGCTGGTAGATAACCATTTAGTGTGTTATAAAAAACAGAGTTTGATTTTGAGCTGTGGGAGATGTCTGTAACACTTGGCACTGGTTCTTGTTTCCTAAAATCTCTTCYAAAGGTGTATATTTTCAGTGAAATACAAAGGGCTTTTTTAGTTTTTGAAATATGGAAGTGTTACAGACAGTTTAATTTATGATGAAAATCCTTTTTGTTGGCAGTTTCTTCTGTAAGAAGTGTTCAGCCATGTTTGAAAGCACTGGCTTTGWATGGGTTTGTGGAGGTTCATGATAGGGACTAGCCTATGTCCTCTAAAATCCTGRTTTGAAGCAGCAGGGTGGTTCTGTCCCTTGCCCAGATATTCTTCACTGTGGGCATGTGCTGGCTGCCACACAGCTGACYTCTGTTAAGCAGCCACCCTGGGCTGGCATACTTTTTGAGATATCTTCTGGAATTTTCCCAGGGCAGTCCAGTCCCTGAGATGAATGTGGCTCACCACTGGATGTCATCGTTGCTCTTTGGTGAACTGCAACTCAAAGTACATTTATCTGGCAGTAAAAAATAATGCTGCCTGACCAAAGGTGACATTTAATTTTGCCACATTCTAAATGACTTGCTATACGTTCATGCCATTTGGCAGGGAATTGATCCATAATGCTTCCTTAAGGGACAGGACAGCACTCTAGTGAGTTCTACAGTGTGGTGGGGCTGTGCTGAAACCTCAGCTGTGGAGCTCCACCAGAGCAAAGACATGGCATAAAAGATCTCTTGGGGATCTCAATGTGCCATGTACTTATTGAGRAGGCACATGTAATTACCACAGCTTTAAAACAAAGTACTTAYTCTTAATCTAATGASTTACTCTGTCAGCTGATATATAGAGGATATATTTCTACTGTACTTTTATGGGAGGAATTTAGAGGACTTAATTTTATTAGTGTTGTCTCCTATTTGTAGTAGWGGAAAACCTGTTTGAGGCCTTGGCTTGCTTTCTGCCTAAGTGCCRCAGCAGGAATTTATAGGAGAAGTGTCTGACAAATAACAAAAGTTATTCCATTTTGTATTGGTCTTCCCAGTGCATTTATGAACCTGCAGTTATGCGTTCTGTGAAATGGGAATGTAGACAACCTARAGCAATAGGGAAAATGCAAAGTGTGTTGTACTGCGAGATGGAAAGTATTTCCCGGTCTTTCATCAGATATTTGAAAGCTGAATATAGTCAGGGTGGAAAAAAARATGTATTTAAGAAAAGGCAAGGATAATTTTGGAAAGGGAATTTTCAATTAAACACACAAAGACACTCAAAATATAAGTTCCTCATTAATTTACAAGGAGAAACATTTCCATAAATAAACCTTCAAGAGCAAAAATTGCTCTAGAAGGTATAAAAATGGTTTTAGCCGTATGTATATGCACAATGTTTAAGTGTTTGTTAAATGGCAGAGTGATAGCAGAGTCAGTGTTTTGTCCTCTCCTGCAAGGATTCCAGAGAATCTTGATGAGGAGAAGCCAGACATTTCAGTTCTTGTAATTTTCTGTGACCTATTAAATATGCACATATTCTGTGTATTTTAGTACCACTTATCTGATGCTGTGCACAGAAAAATGGTATTAGTCATGTCAGTGRGCCGTAAGAAGTTTTGTGTGAATGCAAGATAATGCATCACTGAGATCTTAATGATTCCTAGCAGGCTTTGACTATTTTTTAAATGCATTTCTTTGTCTTACAATTTTTTACAGCTGAATTATTCTTTGAATCACACAAATCGGAAGCTGGTGCTGGAATCTAAAGTGTGTATCAACACTAGRATTGTGGTGGTTGGTGCATCTGATGTTGGAATCTCTTTTCTGGAAACATTGGTTTTTTGGTGAGTTTTTAATTTTATTTTCTTTACTGAAAAGGATGCGTTCCCTTTCGTGTGAAGAGGGTTGTTTTTACATTAAAGTGTGCCTTGAGTCTGTCTCAATACTGAATGTTAAAGGTSTGAGCACCTATGGATGTAGGGATGGTGTGGCATCCTGGATGCCTTGGGACTCACAGGATTCCAAGCAACTCCCAGTTGCACATGGATCCTTAAGGTGAAGGCACRCTGAAAATGAGAATTGAAAACACTTGAAGTCCCTTTGACCTTTGTTCTTAAATCACCATCTCATGCGGGGAGGTGAAGTCAATGGCCCCTGGCATGTGCTCCTGGGCAGTATTGACCATTAAAACCAGTTGTGCCCAGCAGGGTCCCAAATCTGTCTGAATYCCCTCTTCCCTAAATCTAAGGCAGGGTGACCTGTGGGTGAGTTCTGCTGTGTAACAGCCTTCCCAAAGGCAGGACAGGGTGCTCTCTCTGGTGTTTCACTCTTGTACCACCTCCACAACAATTTCAGGGGCTTACTGGGGTGTCAGACTGTGAGAATGCAGTTCCTTTGATGCAGYTGGTGTTTTCTGCAGTTTAATCACACATACTTGAAATATCATGAAAGACTTGCAGAAATGAATATAAAATTGAATTCTGAACATGATTCTAACATCAAAATGCAGCAAGAACTTAAAGAGTCTGGTGATTTTATGGGAGACAGAGAACGGAAAATTCTGCCTTTTTTCAATTAAGCCAGGAGTTTGTATTTCTACAACATCCATTGATAACATCACAAATTATATTTTCAATACATCAAGGGAAGAATAAGTTGAAGTGCTTTATAGGTGTTGTATTGCTGGAGCAGCCCAGAGAAAAATTTCTTGCCCTTCTCTTAGTTCTTGACTTCCTGTAAAGCATATCTCAAGGTAAATAGTTTCCTCTCATCATCGTGTTCTCAGCACCTTTTAGGTTTTCAGTTCCACCCCAAATTCAGTTAAACATGCACTTTAGAGCTTTTAACCCCTTACTTGTTACTCACACTGTGGTGTCTGTTGCTGCTCTTGTTATAGAACACTGTGGGGAAGCCAAAGTGGTTTTGTGCTCCAAGTGTGTCAGCTGAGTCTATCTGTAATGAACAGGCCTTTGCAGGTGTTGCCCTCAGAGCTCCTTCGGCCAAGGCTTTGCAGCCAGGGCTTGAGTTTCAACCAAACTCGGGCATTGTTGCTGCAGGACAAGCTCCTTKAGCTTGTCTTGGCACCCAGCCTCAAGCAGGGTGCTGCTTGGAGAACCACAGTGCCAGCAGGCAGCTCTTAGCGCAGTKTCACAGAATTTATATTAATAGAGGTATAAATTTGGGAAAAATTAGTTTTTAATTTTCACATCAGCAGCAARTAGCCTCCTGATCAATGTGAAGGCCTTTTAAAACAATTTGGTTTAATTTACTCATAATTTYCTAATATTCCCTGCAAAGGTTACCTGCTCCAAAAATAGCTGGATTGAATCAATTTGTGAGCCCTAATCCTTAAAAAGAGGAAGTAATTTTCTCATCGTTATTCTTCATACTTAATTATTTTACATTATCAGTCACCATGGAAACACACAAATGTAATTCACTTACTGATGTGGCAATTATTAGAACTCAGTCTTGCAAGTGTTTTCAACTTCTTTGAGACTGAAGAAATACAGTTTTCATTAAGCAGAGAAATGACCCTGAGAATGAGCTCTACTCCCCCGTGGCTGGGTGCCTCCCACTCCTGCTGTGCTGTAGGCAGCACATCCTGAGGGACACTGCTCCTGGAGCAGTGCCCCAGAGCAGCCATGGCACCAATGCTCACCCACCAAACCCCAAATGAGCTTTAGACTTTTCCATGCTGCTTGGGCGATGTGTGCAGGGAACTGATGGGGACCTCACAAGCTGCTGCTGCCTGCATTCACTGTGGGACATGTTGCTGGAGTCTCTGGAATCAGGCAGTCTCAGAGGACAGAGCACTGGAAYATCTACTAGAGTGCCTGATTCATGGGACACTGGTAGTGTTGCCAAAAAGTGTGTGGAATGACCTGTGAGTGGGGGTAGCTCCGAGTCCTGGAGAATCCCATCCTTGTGCTCCATCCAGTGCTAGGTCATACCGTTATTCAGGTTTCACCATGCAAGTAATGATCTCCTGCTGATTTTTTTTTTCTCAGAACACAATCATGTGCAAGTATGTGTTTTTAGTTGTAGTGCTGCCTTTCGTGAGGATGCACAGGGATTTTTTTTTTTTTTTTTACTGGAGAGCCAGGTGACTGATGGAGGCTGCAGAGCTGCAGTTGCAGGGACAGAGCCTGGTGCCTGGCCAGCTGTTGGTGTGACAGCGGCTCTGGGGGACAGCTGTGACAGTGGGTGCTTTTTGATTTGTTTGTTTGGGATGTTTGGATTTTTATTCTTTGCTAGTTTCTAAGAGATGGGCAGGGTAGCATGGTTATGCCAGAAGGGTACAGGATTACAAACCCCAGTGTTTCCAGTTTATCCTGGGGGCTGGCTCCTGGAGCAGCATGCAAACGCAGGCAGCAGGGATGGAAGTTTGGCTTAAGGAGCATGGAGCTTGCTCCCAGCAGTATTTTGTCACTGGTTCCAGTACAGAGAACCCATTGGCTCTTTGCGTATAGCTGTGGAAAGCACTGTTGTTTCCCAGCTATAGGGAAAACTGTTTTAATCTGTGATTTTGAAAACCTCCTTAATCCAACCCCTGTTGTAAACTGACTTATTTTCTGAGGATGTTGGAATGTGCATAACATGCTAAATGAGAAAGCCATAAATGAATGTTGCCTAAAATCACATTATTTCATAGGAAATTGTTGTGAAATTTATTTCCCTCTCCATGTGGGTGCATTGAAATAAATATTGCATTTAAAAACCAGATGGATTAAAGTACATTTTTGTCAAAGCCCTGGACTTCTCTCCCGACGTAGAATTGGAATCCAGCACAGTAAATCTGAGTTTTTCACTGCAGAATGGCATCTCTCCCTGGGAGTTCAGGGTACCCAGAATCAGCTCCGAAGTGGCAGGGTTCGAACAGGGYTCCTGACAGAGCCCGTTATCTGGCAGCACCGGGGTGCACAATATCCTGCACATCTGGCCTGTTTGGCAGTAGTTAGCATAATGCTTGCTGGTTAATTAGGCTTTTTATCTTTGCATTTGTCTGGGAACATCTGAAGCCTTCCATGTTGCCTGTCACTAATTAGTTGACTAATTAAATAGTTAGTGCTTACTTGCTGATCACAGAGCTAACACGTAATGAATGGGTTAGTGATGCCCATTGTTTTGTCCTATCTGTCTTTGCCACATGAGCYGACACACGTGTGCTTCCCTCTGCCTTTCCTTCATACCAAGGCAAGCCCAGGCCATGTGCTCAGTGTCACCGAGCCTACATCCCTCAGACATTGTTGTCTTCCATCGCTTCTGGTGAGCAGAGCTCAAATTGTGACAGAGATAAATCAGATGGGTCAAAGCTGACCTTGTTRCGCAGTCGGCGTCACAATGAATGCTGGCAGTGACTGATACCAGACACAAACAAGGGGAGAGGATGTGGGTCAGGATCAGCCTTTCTAACAGCCTCTGTCAGAAAATGAGACTCAGTTAGCGCTAATACCAACTTATTTTATAGTTATGGTCTTGCTTTTGAGACCGTCTGCAGTTTTAAATAAGATTATTTCAACTTGAAGTRCTTGCCCTTTAAACATATGCAAGCACTTGTCTGATCCCAGACTGTTCTTTCACACATGAAATTTGTATTTGTAGATTTTCTTGGTTACTATTTATATTTGAGTACTCCTAACTTCTTGGTGAGTGTTAAAACTGATCTTGGAAATAGTAGTTTTCTCATAAAAAGCCTGTTCAAAATTGGAATGAGTCACAAACGYTTTTATAGAATGCTGGGCTGCATCCATCATCCCCTCCTGGTGACTCAGTGGGACATCCATAGCTGTGAGCCTGGTAACCTGGTACCTCTGATCGACACAGCTCAGAGCAAATAACGAGCATTTCAAGTGCAAACACTACACCGAGGTTCTCCAGCTCTCTGSTCAAACCATGAAGGAGGTATAACCACTTTCTCTTCTGTTCATATTTAGTTTTGTTTGTAGTTTATTCCCAGAGCTGTGGAGGTAGTGTAGCACTGAGCCCTCCAGAGCAGTGTCCAGGCTGCCTGTGGGTTGGATTGAAAGCACAGCAGACTTTGCAGGCTGCTACAGTGGAGAAAAAGTGACTTGTCTGCTTAAGCTGTGATCCTTCCCACTAGAGATTAGTGTGGATTTGATTCCTGTTCATGTATGTGGGTGTACTCTGAGGGGCAGAGTGAGGATACTGACAAGYGGAGGTCACTAATTGAAAGGATGGATGTTTGGGATCCAGAGTTTTGGCCCAGCTGCCTCCTCTGCCAGCTGTGTCCCTGTCCTTCCTGGGCTGTCAGCTTTTTTGGGAAGACCTGGCACTAGGGCGGTGCATCAGGACATGCAACTTTGAGTCCTGTGTGCTTCTGCTGGCRGGAGGAGTATATGTGGGTAAACCTCAAGCCTTTCAGGTTCAMGGGCTGTCTGTCTGGTGGCATCTGGGAGCCTTTCTAGGGTATACACTCTGAAGGCAGCATTGCCAGATTTGCACCAGGCTACATAATGGAGTTAGAATACTTATCTCCTCTGCAATAGTTTGGAAAATTGGAGTTTGGTAGAGGAGACAGCCATAAAACCCCTACCACCTTAGTTTTAACATGGATAATTGGCCAATAATATTAAAAATGTCCTATTAGCAAGCTGGAATCTGTACTGTGTGTTATTCAGTGAAGCACTCAAACAGCAGCAGGCAAAGTGGTGAAGTTTCAACTATGCTTTAATTTTACTGCCCAATTTATGGTACTTTTATTTGTGGAAAATGATGTTGATGTCTCTCAACTGTGGTTTGGAATCTGCCAAGTGATTAAACAGCAAGGAGACTGTAACTACCAAYGCCATCATCAGATATCCCTCATTTTCTGTCTAGAAAA